TTAAAAGCAATGTATTACATAATTTAAATCAGGGGTTGGCAATTACAGCCTGGCTCCTAGCCTGTTTTAGTTATGGCCTATAAGCTATGAATAGTTTTTACATTTTCAAAGGGAAGAAAAAGGAAAGAAAAGAGGGGGTAGTGGGGGGAGGGAAAGGGAAAGAAGGAAGGAAGGAAGGAAGCAGGGAGGAGAGAGGGAAGAAAGAAAACAAAAAGCAGCAGCAGAAATGGTATATGGCCTGCAAAGTCAAAAATATTTACTACCAGCTATATACAAAAAGTTTGCCAACCCCTTTAAAAAATTATATGTACATAGTTTGAGTAAAAATATATGTATACATTTCAATCTGTATCCATATATCAGTCTCTATCTATGTATCTATCACTCACAGACACATATACCAGACTACACATACTTCAAAAAGTTCACAGAAATATTCATAGTATCCTTTAATTCTATTTTTCCATGAACTTTTTAAAGTTCCCTCATATGTGTGTTAGCAATGTTTGTTCTAGCGTGGTAAGACTATGGGTATTTTCTATTTTCTTTGCTGTATTTTCTAAAGTGAATATATTCTATTTTGTAATAAAAACCAAGAAAAATTTATATAAGTTCAGCCATCCATGTAAGACCAAACCCGAAGTCAACTACTGACCCTACACAACTTTTGTCAGGGGTCAGGCTTTTTTCCTTTTTCTTTTAGAGAATGCTGTCTTATAACTGCTACTCTTAGGATAGCTACAATACAGAAAGTTCTAAAATACAGAAAACTCAGAGGGGAAAGCTAACATTACTTATTGTCCCAGCACAAAGAAACACCATTAACAATCTTTTTTATGGAAGCTACTTTCATTAACCTAACAATTTACTACAAATAATTTAATACTTAAGAATTAAAGAATTACTAAGAATATTTACATATTCTTCCACAACATAATTCCTTTATGTCTTTATAGTATTTTATCATACGAATGTACTATAATTTACTTAACCAATCTCCTTTTTGATTACTAGCTTTTTCTCTGTATTGTAAGCAATAATGCAATCAACATACTTGTATATGAAAATTTTGGACTTTTGTTTCCTCAGGATAAATTCCTAGAAGTAGAATTCTTAATACTGTAGGGCGTACCCTCAAAATATATCCAGAATCCAACCATTTCTCATCAGCTCCATTATGGTGTTCTGAGACCACACTATTTTTACTGAGGTAGCTGACTGCTCTCCCCTCTGTCCTGCCCCCGGGCTGTGCAGCTCTGCACAGCAGCAAGAGTGACCCTCCCCAAATACGGGTTAGATATTTAACCAACCCACAGCTCAGACCCCTCTCCTGCCTTCCCATTTCACTCAAATCAAAAGCCAAAGAGGTTCCCGAGCCCCGCATGATCTGCTCCTCCGCCTCTGCCACACCCACACCCACACCCACACACACCCTCTTGCCCTGGCTTCATCTCCTATCCCTCTCCTCTCTCCTGCTCCAGTCACCCTGGCAATTGCAGCTTCCCCACTTTTCCTCCAAAACACATCAACCTCACGCCTGCCTTATGAGTTTGTTGCTACACGGCTTCCTCCTTCCAGATCTCTGCCCAAATGACACACCAGTTAAAAGAAAGGCTGTCCCTGGACCACCCTATATGAAACAGCACCTTTCCCCATTATCCTTGTTGAAATGCTCTCCTTGGTGTGCAGCATTGTCAACATGCTACGTCTGCTTGCTTGTCTGTTTCTGTCTACCTCCCATCACTAGAATGTAAATTTACCAATTCACTCATTTGTCTATTCTTGTATCAGAAACACTGGAACATTGCCTGGAACACTGCAGGTACTTGGGAAATGTTTGTTAGGCAAATGAATAAAATTCAAGGGTTAGTTCTAATCACACACTTTATTACACTGCTTCTGGTTGTTTCTATCCAACAAGATTGCTCTTTCTCTGAGGAAAGACCATGTCCTTAGCTTCTCTTGCCTCAGCAGAACTCACCAAGATTCTGAACGGAGAAAAAATGCTCAACATATAACTAAATAAGTCTAAAGAAAAAAGACCCCTTAATAAAACATTTGACATGAAAATTTTATGTAAGCTGGATCTTAATTTGGGCACAGTGAAAACGTATTCATTTCTTATGGCTACTGTAACAGATTACCACGAACTTGGTGGTTAAGACAACAGAAATTTATTTTCTTACAGTTCTGTAGGTTAAAAGTCTTGAGATCAGTTTCACTGGGGTGAAATCAAGGTGCTGGCAGGCTGCACTTCCTCCGAAGGCTCGGGGGACAGTCTGTTCTCAGCCTCCTCCAGCTCCTGGTGGCTGCCAGCATTCCTTGGCTGCCATCACCCAATTTCTGCCTCCGTGGTGGTACTGCCTTCTTTGCTGTGCTGGCATCCCCTGCGCCTCTCATAAGGACACACGTTACTGCATTTAGGGCCCATGCAAATAATGCAGGATAATCCCCCCATCTCAAAATCCTTAACCTAATCATATCTTTTGCCATATAAAGTAATAAATACTCACTTTTTTGCCATATAAAGAAGCATTTACAGGATCCAGGAACTAGACCTGTTATCTACGGGGCCATTATTCAGCCTACCACAGAAAGCATTTCTGGTAGCAATCAGTGACCTTGCCATGTGTCCCCATAATTTCCTTCCTGTTACCCTAAATACGAATCACGTTTTTATCATTTAACACATGAAGACAATTACCCCATATTCAATTTAAAAAGAAAGGAGAATCACATCAACGTAAGGGACAGGAGGACCTTATCTCAAGTGTAACAGTATTTGCTTGAGTAATAACAATCATGGCACTAATAATTTCTATGTTATCCATTGCCAGAGAAGAGTAAATTTTAAATAGCCATGTCTTTTTCATGACATTTCTGTCATGAAATGGTACAACGAGAGCTAACACTTACCAAGCGATTATATGTCAGATTCTTTACATGCATCACCTCATTTTTTCCCTCCCAAAACTTAAGATGTGAGGACGATCAGTGTCACCACTTTGCAACTGAGGACAGTAAGGCTTAGAGAGGATCACACAGAAG